CTCTGTTGCCCCTTTCAGACCTACAGATAACTGTATATATGCTACCACAAGGCGGTTTTTACTAGCTATTAAAACAATAACTTTATAGTTCGCTCGCGTCAGGGAAAGTGTCCGACTAAATCGTGTTTTTAGACTGACCGATTCAATGTTTGATCGCATACACTTACGCAGACAGACATACGTCCTATAAAAATATCGTTGAGGAAAGCTCGGAACGCTACAGAGCGGAATAAATTATGCTGTGGGATGCGGAAACAGTACTGCATCAATAGTATGGGACAGATAGCCAACTACCACGGCAATGAGCTGAGAGGGTATTTCACTCGTGGGGGGGAGTGGGGGATACACACTGCAATTGTTTTACTGCTCGAATCTCCAACGGGCGACTGAATATGACGATTACACATTGGATAAGCTTGGCTCCACTTTTGGGAACCTATTATATACATATATTAAAGACAAACTGTCTTTCGAGAGACGGTGGAGTGATGACTCATTCTGATTCTTTGCAAGCACTGCCGAAATACATTGTAGTTAGCGGTTTAATATAATTCATGATTTTATGGAATAAATGAACTTTAGAGAAAAGTCGACTGGTCTCAATTCAAGTAAATGCTACTTTTCAAAATTGCAACAAAAAAAAAAAACCCAAAATAGCGTATCAGCCCAATGACTGTAAACCGCATTTTTTTTTCTAAAACATTCAGTTGCTAAGGCAATCGCAATTTTCGGGTAATGCCATTACCATAACAGCAAACTCGATTAGGGAAAATGCTATAATTAATAATGCTGAAAACAGAAAAAAAACTATAAGTATATTGTCAGTAAAAGGAACTGCAATGACAACTGATCAACACAATGTAAACCTGATACTATGTTTAAAACCATGCCTCATCGTATACATTTCTGATATAATCTATTTATCGCGTAGGATACGTGTTCGAGCAACAGCGTCCTATTATCATTGACGATACGAGAAATTATCAGAAAGCTGTATCATTTCTTTTCCCAGTCGCAATCTAGCGCGACTCGCGACCCGGCGACCCCCAGGGCAACAACGGCGATCATTTATCGCCATTACGTGTTCCGTATCCCTCTACTAGGCTACATTCCTTTAACCGGCGTCAACAGCTTGATGACGGTTCGGTGTCTGCCTGTGCATCCATCATCTGTGCACCTGTGGCACAGTTAACCACGACGACCAATAACGAGAGTAGCGGTAGGAGCTGCTGGTATTGCTACTGAGGCAACAGTAGCGTTGCTATTCGACGATTGCGTGGTCGATCCGTCCGTCGGTTAGCCATCTTGGTACGTCGAACTGCAACATACAGCGCGAAAGGCGCTGGGCGACTGACTGGCTGCTGACTAGCAGGCCGTCTCTAACCTAGCACTACCATTAGCATCGCTATTACGAGTACGATACGTAGCAACGACGCGCGCCCCCTCGCCGGCAAGCAATAGCCACTAAGCAGCAACTCCGAACTACCGACGGCCGAAGCAGCAGCAGCAGCAGCAGTTCCAATGACGGAAGGCGTAACAGGCAAGACGGCAAGAAAGACAAGAAGACGACAGCAGTGAGAGAACAGGCATCGACAGACGGACACATACATATATACTAGCATACGAAAATGGAGCACACCGTCGGCTGAATGCTGGGAAAAACTTTCGAGCCAATGGTGAAAGCGGACCGAATCCTTAAGATCGCACGTGGCAGCGTAGCTCCGCGTGCTGTACACAACAGCACCGCTGACCGACAGCACAAAGGATAGCAAAAGAGCACTGGCGTAGCCGTTTGCATGTGACTGTGTATGCGTAGATGCTGAATTGTACGTATTGAATGTACGTGCCCGTAGCTGTAGGCACTTCTGCTAAAGTTCTTGCACTCCCCCTTTTCCTCACCCAGACAAAACCTACTGGATGAGCGCAATTGTTGGCGCCCTTCCTGAGAACTGCGGAGAATGTTATACATATAATAGCTCCTGCAGTAGGCTCTTAAGTTTCCATCGTTAAACGGAAGAAGAGCTACATATTTATCGTAGGGTGACTACAATTGGCCGTTGTTAACGAAAGTTCACATCCGCGCAGAAAGAGTATACGCGCACAATTCCTTGCAACAATCACGCAAGCATCATCGGCAGCCACCGTCGTCACCGTTGCTGCGGCCAAAAACCAGATGGTCTCGGCCGTTACCACTACTGCTACTACCCGTCGAATGAGAGCTGACGACTGCAGCGGCCGATCCTCAGCGCTTGGCAACTTGCCATTTATCTATATCCGTTTGGATATGTGTACTTCTCCCCGTGTGGCTCATGCATATGCGCCGTCGTCTATCTCATTGATGCGTCTGATAGGGAATCAAGAACAGTAGACGGTCGTAGTGGGACAATGTGAGGCCAGCCTGCTCGCTCAAGCTGAGCCGTCGAAATTGACGCTGCTTACTTACCAACTCGCTAACTGACGTTAGAATCGATATATATATTTATATAGGTATATACATAGAGACACTACAGTGATACTGCAGTTTTAAAATTGTCAAAGATTTCAAAAAAGTCAATTGTCTAGGAAACGATGGCGCCATAGCCTGCTCACCAAGGTAACTGCTACGTTATCGAAACCATATCACGGTATGGGCTGCAACTACGGGTTATGATAATTGCGGGATAATAGTCAGTGATAACACAATCATAATTGGGTAAACTAGAACTTTAAACCTATATCACTATGATCTTCGTACGAACAGTTTAAAAAGTGTCAAGTGGTACGCACTAATAACGTTTCCAGCAACTATTAAAGTAGTCGTAATAATTATACGCGATTCTGTTGCCCTTGACTATAGGCGGACGTAACAGTTGTTTATGCTTGTGACGACAGCTTTGGGCTTTGTTGCCGGCTAAATAACATGAAAAATTGCCGCCAAAACAGAGAGGGAAAGCTTTTATTTTTTGAGGTTTGTTTTTTGTTATCTTCGTCTCCCGTTTTCATGCTGTAAATCGCTAACCAGATCGTTTTTTAGTTATTCAGTCCCATTGAGACGCTCGGTGACAACGTTGAAATGCTGCGAGGAGAACTAATGGCAGCAAATCCATGTCCTAAGTGACTGAGTGGAAAAACAGCGAGGAACGAAGGAGGGCGCAGGTGGCAATGTGCGTGCATCATAATCGATAAATATGAAATGCCAACACGCAACGTTGGTGACCAACAATAACAACCCATTATAGCATTATCACTATTTGGGCATTACTATTTGCATAACTGAGAGGGTGATAACTTAGAGAGAAAGCAATTGACTGGAAAAGCCTGCCATCGGCCAGTGCTCAAAGGGCGTTATCAGGGGTTATTACGGGAAACGAACCTGCCGCTGCTGAATCTTTACGCTTTAGAAGAACTCAATATTACATACTAAGGTCCTCCATTTGATCAAGTTCTATTGTTTTATCGATCTGAGACTATACATAGACACATGGCTCTTTAGAATGTGGATGAAAGGAGAGTTGAAAAGGTCAAAAGTTGTGAAATGTCAAAAAGAACCCATAGATTAATGAACGCTAAGCTAGGCCAACACAAAGTCACTAAAACTATTCAGTTGAAATAAACACATTATGGGCTAGTTGCTATTTCTATTCACTAGCATCGAGTATTTCTATTCGGCTGATCTCGAATGAAAGTCTTGGTTCTTTACTAGTTTGTAATTATGTACCGGCAACTATCGCCTATTGCTAATCCAAGGCGATGTCCTTAACGGGTCTCTAGGAAACCCCTCGGCTCAACTAAGTATTAGATGAAACTGGAGATATCTCCAAACCTGAATCCCGTTGGCCCATACGCATTATGCCATAAACGAGAAATATTATCTAGGATACCTTAGATACAATCGCTATCCGCTGTTTTTGAGATTACGTCACAGACACTGTACTGCAAAGCCTGACACTTTGCCAACAACAACAATAAGGCAATATCTTCATTAGAAGGTTATCCCAATATATCCTATGAGATGTTGCCGTCCTACCTACCCATTGCAATGGCTACCAATTGGTGTGCAAACAGGCACGCCAGCTGGGTGGTACAAATGGCCAGCACACCTATCTACTAGTACCTACCTAACTCTGCCTAGCTCATCGATCATGGTTATCGATGTAGACCGAATTAATTTTTCTGAAACTAAAAGTTACTAGCGCAAAGAGGACAAAGAAAGCGCAAGTTTGCTATTAAACATGCTACAAACATGCCAAAGGACACCTCAATTGGCCTATGCTAGCAGTGTTGAAACAATTACTCGTATGGTTTGCATAAATCTGGCCTAGAATTGAATGAAGAAAGCAATTTTGAAAAACTGCTTGCTCAATAACAACACACGGTATTTCTTTCACGGAAGGTACCCCACGCATCTAAATTACCTAAGCACAAACAATTTAAGCGCCTATAGTAAATAAAGCCAGATGGACCTTAATTAGCGCCCCGTTCACAGCCCTAGTATGCATAGTCTGCTGAACAGTTATCGCGTTACATATAGAGCTGCTCGCCATCTGCGATCACAACGAGGCTCATGTTAATAATCGATGCTAGGCTGCCAGCTACCCACCTATAAACGTAACACATCTACGGCAAAGATATTGTATGGCACAACTTTGTTTTATTGCTTTATAAGCGCATTGTATGACGAGACATCAGCCTCATGTGTCTTCATAATAATAACGATAATATACGGCACCTAAATATGGACTCTCTAATGCTTTGTTTCTGAGGCTATATCTTAGTAAGAACAGATTTTTGACTGAATTGCCAGCGTGTGCAAGAGGTCTGAATTCTGACGGTGACCACTCATTGCGACTGAGGCTTCGGTTCGGAACCTGACCCGTTCGCTAGTCATATTCAAAGTATTCCTTTTATCTTCATATATAACCTTTTATACGACGATATTGCTAGGTATAGATTTGTTGAAGTGTCGCTCAAATACTCTACGTACAAAAAATTTCAGCGGCTTTTTGGGCTGATTAACATACCTTCCATCCGGCGGAGCTGTTGGAATCCCCTTTATCGTTGAAGTATGATACATTTTGCACCATCCAGTCGTAGATTTGCGACAGCGTGAGACGTTTGTCGGGTGTTGACGTAATGGCCTGGGTAATTAAGTCCGCGTAGCTCATATTGCCCCAGGCATTACGCCGCGATTGCGTCTTCTTCGGCGCAGGTCCCGATGCCCCACCGGCATGGCTGCTGTCCTGGGCATCACTGCTCTTGCCATCCAGATTGGCGTCATCTTTGTCGACAAAGTCGTCCGGCCTTGGCAGGGGCCACGTGTTTGAACGGGCCCGCTGTTGTGGCTCGAACGTACCGAGGCCTGAGTCCAGACCAAGTTCAGAGAGTTGATCCATTACCGCGCTGGTCACTTCCGCTGTTATCGTAAGCTAGGCAGTGCCACAACCGTCACGAATAGCTTTCTTTAGCCTATTTAATCGTTCAATTGGTTATCTTTTTCTCCAACAACTTTTAATTTTTCACTACTTCTAGCTTACAACTTTCTCGGCACCTTCAAAGCGATTTTGTTGAATCAACGCCGTCGTTGTGGTTTACGTCGCAACGAGTATAGCTAGTCCAAAAAAGCTCAAAGCAATAGCAATATTTTCAATCCCCGCCTTTCTTCTTCCTATATTATACTGTTGTTATTATCACAGGCCGATAGATGTTAGTGTCAGTAATAATCCCTATTGACTCACTTGGCTTGCACTTCTTGCCGATCTCTCCTTGGCTTCTGAACCATACGCCGATGACGCTGCGGTTGCTACAGCCGCCGCTACTACTACTACTACTACTACTACCGCTGCTGCGGAGGGCAGTAGCAGCAATTTGAGTCCTTGCCGCGTTGTCCTGGCTGACCTAATATGTGCCGCTCACTCTGCACTCATGAGCCACGACCCACCTGTGTTGGGGGTTGCTGGCATTGGCACTTGTAGGTCCAGCAGCGGCGAAGGCAAACGATAAGTTCAAGACGTGCGAGGTCACTTAATCGACAACGACAGGGTTATTCGCTTGTATTTACCATTAACTCAACGCGCACTACATAACAACCGAACTAATAACGCTAGAGCTATTCCTTGTTGTTGTCGGTGTCGTCGTTATCGCCGTCGTCGTGAGTACCACCTCGAATGGTGCTTCCGAAGAAGACGACGATGAGGGCCAGCTCGTGGAAAGTGGCTCCCGAACGCTGACAAAGACACCGAAGACAATAATAGATCAATCGAGGTTGCGCAGGTTTCCCTTATAACCTCATCTCAGTAGTGAGCGGCGCGAAGATGTTGCTTTGGCAGGTAGTGATGGCCTTCGACAGCGACGAGCGGCACCGGTACAACGAAAGGGATATTCCGTATGTGAGGCGAAAAGAGATGGCTTTTTTCCTGCTTAGCCCTTTCAGCAGCCTCGTTTCTTTCCTCCGCACTGACTGATGGACGTTACCGGATTTCGGAGTAACGACTGCGCTGCACTCCCGCCTCGACTTCACAGCGGGCGCGCAGAGCAGCGCGGACAACGGCGAGGACGATCACGATGGCACAGATCACTTACTCTATGTACATGTATAGCTCTTCACCTGCAGCAAACTTCTCTTCGCAATAGTATTACTATAGCAAAGATTGGGCTGGTCTCTTAGTCGATTGGCTGTCCTTGTGGGGTAAGCCGGCACACGGCACCGCAAAATACTCCGGTAACGTGTTGTTTGAGGAGAGAACGCCAGCCGCTGCTATTTGATATCTGGCCTCGGCTTGGGGCGGCCGTGGCGGTGACGGCTGCGGCGGCGCCAGCGGCGGCGTTGCCAGCGGCCACACCGACGCCACTCCGGAGCAGCACTGCGCGTACAACAAGTGGTTGTGGCTCCTCCGTTCGACGCGCCACCTGATGACTCCTACGAGTGAGCAGCAGCAGCAACAGCAACAGCAGCAGTAGGAGCAGCGCGCTGTGCGCCGTCGACGTCGTAGTTCAGCAGCGCCTAAAACGACATCGGCCGGATGGTACTAGCGCTGAAGCTGACGTGCTGTGACGGCTTCTCTGGATCTCCTTCAGGGTCGCCCCGGCCTGGTCTGGTCCGGTCCGCTGCTGCTGCTGCTGCCGCCGCCACCGCCGCTACAGAAGCAGCAATGTGTGCGCTCCCTTCTCTAATGCAACGCGCCTTTCTCTCGTCGAAAGTGAACAGGTATTTATGGCCGGCGGCACATACACGCATAGAGACGCACATGCGGGCACAGGCGTCAGTGGACTGACAGATCATGGACTGATGCAGCGCATTTACTGCTGGTTCACTTGTTGGCCTCAACTATCGTCGCCATCATTGACCTCAGCACGAATTGAGTCTCTGCGAAAAATGCTATAACGTTGCCTTGCACTTTTCTCTATTAAGTTGCCCTTCGGTGTCTGGCGTTTTCGTACCGGCAATAGTAATAGGCATCACTTGTAATTGCAGGACACCTTATTCCTGTCGCATACTGGATCATTACACAATCGAAGCTGTTGTGGCCAAACAGGTAGCTGTTGTCGCCGTGGTTGTCGTTGAAGGAAGTTACGCGTAATGTCACCTGCGGATAACTCCGCAGCGCGCTCACGAGCAATTTGCCCTCTCAACGGCGGCGGCGACGACGAAGTATGACGCACAATTGCCACGGACAGAGGCACGCTCTTACCAACCACACTATACACAGAATTAAATAATAATGCAATCAACTACAGTAACCATGGATATATCTATACTTCACTAGACGCGAAGCACCGTATCCTTTAGTTCACCGAGTCAGCGACGTCACGCGGCTAGACATTTGTCGTTTCACTAACGACTTCGCAACAGCGTGCTTTTGCTGAAACAAGTTCACACGAATACATACAAATCGTCGACTGCTGCTCTACTTGGTTGGAGTTTCTACGTGTCGTTTGCTGATTCCGTCTTTCGATATGGGTGTTGCCTCCTTGAAACGCTGCTCCTTCAAGCTCAGCTCAACCGCAGGTGTTTCTAAAGCGCGATTTGTTCTCCTCGAGTTTTACATAAATATCTGTATGCTCACAGTCCTCCAGCTAACACGAGTATGTATGTGATTTACAGGAAGAGGTGGCACCACGCGTGCTCGCTCACTAACTAACTCACGGTCACAGTCGCACGAACCTTTTCTCTTCGCCTTCTGTTAACAGTTGATCAGGTAGAGTTTTCTGTACTGATGTCGCTTGCCCTCGTTGCGTGGTCGGCCAATTACTTCGTTTGGCGTCCTCAGCAAAATTCAGCTTCGTCGCACAGCTTTCGTTCGACAGCGGAGTGAACTGGAGAAGGACAGTTCAGATCAACTGAACTTATCCTACTTCTGTGTGCGTCGCTAGTTTTTTCTCCGTTTATTTCTCAGCGATTCATGCATGTCAACAGTATTGCAACTGTCTGCCTCTACCAGCTATACAACAGTTCTCAGATCAGTACAGCGCAGTAGACAACCGTCGGTCTACGGCGAGACTTCTTGCCAAACAACATGAGAAGACAAGCAGCCTCCAGCGTCCTCTGCTTTCTTTACCCTTCTTTTGCGCCTCTTTGCCGCCGCCGCCGCGGCCGGAGCAGCAGCGGTTCTTGTAGTCGTTCAAATAGTGGGAGTGGCTGGTGCCGCCTGCTTGCACCAGCGCTCGCTCAACCGCTCGCCTGCCTCGCTACTAGTCGCCTCGTCCGTCCAGTCTGTGACACTTCCCTTCTCCGCTATTTCGAGCAGCTCTATAGAGGCTGCTGCCACCGCCGCCGCTGATGATGATGATGGCGACGGCTGCTGCCAGCTACTTTCCTCTCACTTGCGCCTGTCGCGCCGCTGGCGCTTTTGCCCTAACAGAGAGCACGCTCCTCGCATATGTCTGTATCGTTGCACATGCACTTGTCGCTCAGCCGGTGGCTCGGAGCTCAGTTACTGCCTGCCTAACTTCCATCGGCGTATGCCGTCTTTTACCATCTGTGCTATATGCAGCTTGTGGCCAGCAGCAGCAGCAGCAGCAGCAGCAGCACGTACCAACCACGGCAAACTAACAGCGCCAGCGGCCACCGTCGCTACTGCTACACTTAGCCCTGCGCGACCCTCGCCTTCGGTGCCAGCCACTCGCCACTGCCTCGTTTCACAGGCGCGCCAGCAGCGGCGGCGGCGGCGGCCGTGTTGTTGATCGCCGGCGGAGCGAAGGCTAAGGGCCGCTCTGTCCCCGTCTCGTGTTGCTGTCGTCGACTGCTCGCCCTATCTATCCCGTGCGTACGTGTGCCCCGTCACCGGCCAGCGCGAAGAGCAACGAGTTGCGCGATGGTCGGTTCAAGCAGCCGCCATCGCCACCGATGAGAAGGAGCAGCCGACCGATGGAATAACCACGACTAGTTGCGGGAAAAGCAGCGTTACGGGTCCTAACGCGGAGCCCGCGCGTTTTGAGGCGGTGGCGGCAGTTGTAATAGCTGAACGTGGCAAGCTAGCAGCCGTCAGCCGTCAATAGTTATCCCGTATGAAAAGCCAGGTGATGACGTTACCGAACATATAGAAATTGCCACCTATCATGGACTGGACAGTGGCGCTGTCGGCGACAGGCGGGCCACGCGCGCGGGCGCGCTAGCAACGGCCCCTAGCGGTCGCCGGGGCAACATGAATGATGATGACAACTGCTCTCTGTCTACTGATCTTCTCAACAGGACACACTGATGGTGGATGCTGTTGTTTGGGTAAAACTGTTATAATTTATTAAATATTGAACCATAATAGTCTTATTGCATTGTTAGTGCTAGCGATGATGGCGGTGTTTATGATGATGATTGAGAGCAGGTATTGGAGCTTTTTTGCTGGTTGTGAGTAGCTGACTGTAGAAGCCTGATGTAGGTAACGTCCCGGCCTGTGTTGATACCCGTTCTCGTAATGGTGCTGTTAGTGACTGCTGCGCCTGCAACCCCTAGACATGCAAACGGCACGACGATTTTCAAAGAAAGCTGCTGCGATACATCTCAGCTGCATACACACACACACACATATAGAAACAGGCACTCATTAGCATAAACAAACATTGAGAAGGGAGAGATATAGATAGACGATGGTGGTTCAGTAGTGTTTGTGAACAGTTGCGGTGGATACTTGTAGAGTCTAATCGGCGTTTCTGTTATGTCAGATATAATGTTATAAACGATGCTCCATTATTCATTTGCCGGTTTCATTTGCACCGCTTTATTGTACCGTTGCTCTAATTGAGTACCGATTTTAGCTAGTCTAGGAAACGAAACTTTCTGGTCGACTAAGTCCATTGACTTACTGGATTAGTGTCTGGCGCGACAATGCGTACCGCAAGTCACTTTCCAGCGCCAGCTGCACGCACCGAAAACACCTGTAGGAGCAGACGGTGCGCCGCTGCCGGCGGGTTGGGTTTGTCGTAATGGGAAAGAGTAGTCTCGATAAAAATAAACAGTCTACGCAAAAGAGTCAGGTGGATCCGTTACGTGCATCGTTCGTCTGTGTGAACGCTGCGAGTAGTTGTATTCGTGACGATCACAAATCTTTCGGACGAACTCACACAGTTGTCACTCTAGTGCAACTGCGTGTCATGCAACGGTCGCATGGCGTGAGCCGATCCGTACACAGGAAGGTTTTCTGATTATTTGAATAAATACAACAAATCGTGCTTTCGATGTTGCTTGACTGCGATCTCGAGCGCCCGAATGCATATCAATATCATGTATAGTCGCTGCTCGACTTTTGACTCGTTCTTGAGCTATTCACCTCCTCTCCAGCCTTTAGAGGTAGCGAAGTGACAAACAATAATGCTACCAACAAAAGCAACAACAGCTGGGCAATAGCAAGGGCATTCGTGGTGCTAATCGACCGCGGGTCACTTTTCATTTCGCTCGAACAGAAATTATGCTAAAGGCTCTGCTAATTAGGGGTTCAGTTTACAGTTATGCGAACTCCATGCCCGGCGCCCCGAGTCTAGTTCGGGACGGCTGCCATAATAAGCCTTAGTCGAAGTGAGGGTTTAGAGGAGTCCGTCATTCGTTTGTAGTCAGTCGATGGGCCATGCTGCGGTAGTATCATGTTGTGTAGAATGAGACGTGTGTATGTTCTATATAGAAGCGCTATCTCGAGGGCTGTTGTCGAATTTGCGCTATTTCACGGATCTATTGTTATTAATAGAATTCTACTAGTGTGAACGATTTGTAGTATAGTCTACGGAAATCGCACCGTTTCACTGCTACAGACTGCATACACGACCTTTGCTGCTGTTACCATTTTGACAGGCGATCAGCTGACGTCGATACCTTGCCTGCAGACTTGGACTAGTCGTTAGATTCCTCCTGAATCCGCAGCGTAATGCTCTAAGCAGCATCTATGGGCACTACTACCGACACGATGTCATGCTTTGATAGACCCGCTGAATAATAAGAGGAGCGAACGATATCTTTAGCTTTGGAATGTTTGTGAATGTATTCTGAATGTATTATTGTGCCCATGCTGTCAGCGGAAGAGCGTGTTTGTTTGACTACGGTTTGACTGTACTTCGTTCACATCCACTATTGTCTTCAGAAATACTCGTAGGTTCTTTACTGCGGTTACAGTTCATGCTGCCAACTTCTATCGTTCGCGATCGGATCTCTGCCGACCGATTATACTAAAATCGACATCGTAATTGCCTCCGGGGGAGGTAAGAAGTTGTACGTGGCGGTCGTTAGCGACTTCGCCGCTTGTGTATACACTGCTGTCGTCCCGTAACAGGACAGCGGCAAATCGGGCGGCCGGTTGATCCTGCCGTTGTTGCAACGGGATCTCGAGCGAGAGGAAACTGATCAGCCGGTGTGATCGACTGTCATTCGCTCAGTCATTGAGTTGGCGAACCTGTGAAAAAAACACGAACGTGTGCCACAGCTAATAGAATACCGCATAGTCTCTAACTGGACCTGTCTGATTGTGTGGCCGACGTAGCTGGCAGGGTTTTGTGCCTAACTGCGACTTTCAGTTCTGTCACTTTGCCGTCTTCCCTTTGCTGCGTTAGTTGTATTTGGAGATATCCTCATTGCTTTGGGGTGTTTTAGATATTTGTCACAGGATCAACGACGAGTGCTCCCCACTGCAGCAACAGCAGCATCTGCCGCTGTTGGAATCATCGTTCGAGCGTCGCGGGTATCCATCGGTGCGACCCAGCAGTCGCCTTTCAGATAACCGTCACCCAGGCAGGCGGGCAGGCGCGCAAACAGGGAGCGCCGATCATCCGACGAATCTATTGCAGCAGCTCTGACGGATCTCCAGTCAGTGAACAACTTCGACAACAAGTCACGTCGTTTTACCGCGTAAGTATGTTACGATGTTGTGCCGTTTTGCTACTTTTCTGGCCGTAGCCACCAGTCCCGTGTGCTTTGCGTATCAGTCCTCGACTGGACTGCCACGAAGATCGACGAGCACCAGCGCGGCTGGAACAGTACCAATCGAAATGTCGCCTTACGACTCTGTCTCTCTCTTCGACTGCCAGCTCTACTAGCGCCACACGGTCACCCACACGCACGCATATATCCAAACAAATATACACACACAAAAACACGCTACTGCAGCTGCAGCAGTCAACGTTTTTGTTTCTCTTCCTGTTTGGCTCGGCCGTAGCTACTGGACACCACTGCTCGTAGCCGTCGCCACTGCCGCCGCGGCAGCAGCAGCAGCAGTACCTATGGGTCGCGTCTTCCAGTACGACGATCGCTTTGGCTACCCTCACTGCAATCAGCACCGGCACGCCACCTCGTCAGCACGTCGCACCTGGATAGACAAACGGACGGAAAGAATACAATCCGTCAGTAGGATTGTCTGTCGTCCTGTGTGCCGATGCCCACAGTAGCAGCTGCAACCGGCAAAAATTCTGTGATTGTGCCATCGTGCTACCTATGAGCTGAGCTTTTTTTTTTGCCATTATCACCATCTGTAACGGGATAACGAACGCACCGGTGTGCGCGAAACGCGCTTTGCGAAGTCGGAAAATCTGGTGCCGTTTAATCTTCTAATATTCTCATTACATAATACAACTGCTACTATTGCTGCTGCTGCTGCTGCTGCAACGGTACAAAAGCTGTTGCTAATGTTGACATCTGATAATAATTAGTACTATACAGTTAAAACACCGTGCCGCACCTCCGCTAAAAACACAACAGTTTGTGAGAACGCGTCTAACCGGTGCTCGGGCAATTAGACGTTATAATTTTGTTGGAGGTGGCATCTTGCCGGAAAATCTTTCTCTCTCTATTGCTCATGCTACTCGAACAACTTCTAGAAAAAAAGTCAGTCGGCTGTCGAATTGAACAAATAATTGTATGAAAATTGTTGTTTTTAACGTTTCCCGTTCTGGCTGGATCTATTAATCTTGTCTTTTTCCTTTGCGTGAATTTCGTCGTCGTCTTCTGTTGACGGCTTCTTCTCTCTCCTAATTCTCCTTGTACCTCTAGCACGCTTCTATCACTTTTTTCCGAAGACTTGTTACGACTATTGGTTCGCTGTTGTTGAAGCGCATTTGCGGCCTTTTCCACTTCATCTGCAATGACCACGACAGGTCGTCAGCATTTTGATCATTTTCAGCAACAGTTAGTTTGCCAGTCGAATACCTCCTCGCACTCGAACCACGTGCCCATTACTGCAACTAGTTCATCTGCAAACACTTCACCAATTTCTACCAGTTTCACTCGTAGCACTCCCTCATCTTCTTCTTTTACTGCTAATACAACTTTCATCGCCCGTTCTTCAGAAGCGTGTCCCTCCCCGCAGCCGCTTCCTTCGGGTTCTGCCAGCCTCAACCACGATCTTGTCCACCCCCACCGCCTACGTTATCACAGACCACAGCAGCAGCGTCACGCGGAACAGCAGCATCATCTGCCCCAGCAAGAGCAGCCAAAGCACAGCAACGAACAAGGAGGCCATAATCGAGGCCTCCAATACGTGGAGCACTGTCAATCTTCACTGTTTCAGCGGCTCGTGTCCGCTCACATTAGCTTGATGCACAAATACGCCGGTTTAGCTTTCCTGTTGATCGTGTTGGTGGGTGCTTACAGAGTTTCGGGAGTGCGTTGCAGCCGGTTCAAGGATTATAACGAAGCTGAGCAACGCGTAGTCATGGCCGTGACTGATGCGTCTGAGCCTGATGGTTTCAGGCTGGCAACCGTCAATGAAGAGCTGATCAAATCACTCAGCGCCGACGATGACATTTTACTCGATTCGTACCTTGGTGCGTTTCGCGAAGTGTGCAAAATCTTCAAAGAGATGGGCACCGTATTCAACTTTGTCACCAGTGACCTCGAGGACAAAATCAAGATTTTAGAGGAATACCGTGCTCGAAATGACGTTGGTAAGTATCAACGGACCATGGGCTATTTACGACTGGTTGAAGGTGATATCAATTTGATAGTATATCTGCTACGGTAAAAGTATATTTAGTACTATGTTAAACTCTAATGACAACTGGTATGCGCATAAGGGTACTTACCTAAGCAGGCTATCCTTGTGCCTAGGTGCGTTAGGTCAGACTGCTGTTGATTCCGATTCAACACAACAACATTCATTTAATATTACATCTAAGATGCATGGCTTGTCTAGAACATGCTTCTGTAGTGAGGGTGCAAACAATGCATTTATCGGTTTCCATTGATGTCACGTGAAATGAGGGCAATTCCGTTTGGTGACGTCGATGTTAATGCGTTTTGTCATTGGCGTTTATTGACGGTGGCAAAAAGTGTGTTTATAGTAATTCCTATAACGAGGACCCATTGCTATGAAAAGATGCCATCAATGCTACTCGACACGATTGGAATAACGCGTAGCGAAACTGAAGCCTCATTTGTTTCCTAGCGACGCAGGGGAGTATTGTCAGTATCAAATTGTGTCTATTACATACGAAAGAGTATGGCTGCTTACAGTTACGTACGTGATCTACGTCAACGATTCTAATCATACTCAGGCGGTCTAACTATCAAATCGTAATACGTTGGTTTTATCACTAAATTCGTAAACAATAGGTGGCCTATTGGCGTTTATGTTGGCTGAAACTTTTACTCAGGTATGGTAAATGCTAGCAGCTCTTCTTCAGATTGAGACAAAGAATAGAAGTATTTAGCGCTCTACATACATTCAAATATTCTAATTGACGTTACGGACGTATGCCCTTAGTAGCAATATTGATGGGTTAAACTGTCCCTAAATTGGAGAATCCTTCGACTGTTTTCAAATATTAGGTTGTCGCACTGATCGCAAATGATCTTTTTTAGCGCCACCCAAATGGATGCGGCTTTAAACTTAGCCTAAAGATGTTATAGCCCTATGCGGAAAAAAAGTATTAAAAAGTTATGCTCTATATATAATAGGTAAGAAAAAATGGCTAAAATTATAATTGCCACGTGCTTACATACAACTTGTTGAGGTGAAATTATTGCGTTTGCTGTCATAAAGTTTAATTATAAGATTTCGAGAAGTCCGCATTCACATTATATGCGAAAAAACGTAGATCGAGTGGGCGTACTTTGTAAACGCGTAAAAATACATTATCGTGCTAAGAATGATTTTTTTGAAAATTAATATTACACACATTTTCTGTTAAGGACTTACTTAAGGTAAAATTCAAAATAGCCAAACATAGCTGTCACACACAAAAATGTCCCACATGCTCTACAATCTATAGGTAGTACTCAGCTTTATCCAGCCAGTGGGTCAGTTTTGTAGGTAGTGCTGAAACATATGTAAAATATAAAAACTGATACCTTAGTTTAAGGAGTTGCCCTCTGCATGTCCCAATTTCAGGTGACGTTCACATCTGAACGAATTTTATACGAGATGAAGTTAAGACATTACTTTGGACCTATCTTAGATAATAAATGTCTAGAGTAAACTTTAGGTAGCGCAAAACAGTAGTAATACTATTAAAGAACCGAAATCAGATTGTTAAAATTACTTGAGGACTAAGGTTTAGGTAAGACGTTACAGATTTTTTTATTATTTTGAAGCTTTGATTGAATATATAGTATAATATTTGTATTCGAATGAAAACTCTGCTCAATAATTCACCATTTGAGCTCAGCGTCGTCAGCCATTTAAGTGAGAAATTTTTACTACGTAACCAGGCTTCACTTCAACTAAAAGGGCTTTCTAAAGTAAGTGACATTGTGTGCTATCCCCAAGTGCTGCTTTCAGCTGAGCATATGGTGCTTCCAAGAAAAACCTTTAGCATTGATATGGACTACTTCCTAAAAATCTTAACTGTAGAAATATCCACCTCCGCCCAAAATCGCTTTTCGTTCGAAGGATTACTAAATGTTTATCGATAATGGGTATGCCCTTAGCTGAACAATACTTTTACTGTTAATGACTGACGTTTAGAGGAACTGACTTCAGAGGATTGTAGCTGAGATTCGACGATAAGTGCTCTTTATGCAGTCTTAGTAAGTTGAGAGTTCGTCGGATCGTAGCTTACTTTTAGTCTGAATTATTGTTAGTTTTTTCAAGAATTTTATGAGCGTTTTTATTTGAGAACGTCACGTGCAAGACTCTAGCCTATCCTTTAGATTTAATTCAATAGATGGTTTTCATCAAAAATTAGCCGCCAAACTTCACTGCTCTTAATACCCCTGACAGACCATAGCATTATAAAGCATCACTCCTTAAATGCTTTCTCACCCACACGTCTGGTCTTGGCTAATTGATCGAATAGACCCAAAGTTCGATCTGTTTAAAACAATTCCGCCTTGTATTATTATTATTTTTCGCTGAATTCTATCTAAGGGTGAACGTAACAAAGATGATGATGCTAGTATATACCAGAAAATTGCATATACAATTTTAAATAGAACATGGCTCTTTGATCGTGGCGAGGTTATTGTGCACTTTCCTAATTTAAAACGGACGCTTTTAAACCTTAACAACATTGTTCAAATTAAATTTGAAGCCCCAATTTTAGGTGGAGAGGGTAAGCAGGCCCTGAAGCGTACGTTCTTATTTGAAAAAAAGGCTACTTCAGTTTCCATTTTGACTTAAAAACAAAAAGCCTGAAATGACTATTGCATAACAGTCCTAAAGAAAGCTTGCAATTTCATAATAGTATTTTTTGAGCGAACGACTGAGTTCGTATCTTGCAATCAATGTCAATCAGTATGGCAAAAGATTCTCTGTCAAATGAATAAGGCAACTAAAAATCCGATAACAGAGTTTGTACTTTTACGATGATAGTCATGACAGCCTGAACTAATCGCTGGACGTAGAAAGAAATTTAGTAATAAATACTTTACTTTGTTCCCAGGACGTGATAATCTTTAACAACCACATAATGAATAGACCTCTATGTTTTTTGTTGTTCTTTTTCTGTCCGTCTGCTTGCCTTTCTATGTTTGATTAAAATCTAGCCGAGCATTTTAATTCGCTTTCATCGATGATGTCTTACGAGATTAGGACCGGTGCGATTTCTATACGCCAGCCACCGTCGGGCTGTCGAACATGGCTGCGCCTCCATCGAGCCCTACAGTTTGTCACAATGTTCTTCTACCGTTTAGCTAGTGTCGACTTTAAAGAGAAGATGACCAGTCTGGCCCAGGACTGTTACGAACAAACTCTGGCAAAGTATCATGGGTATCTCATCAGAAAGGTCCGTATTCATACTGTCCAATTTTTTAACATGACAGCTTTTAGTTTTAACTCGCCTGATTTGCAAGCACTTTTAAGTAGCTAACACAATATAAAATATGAGAAAAAACTATCAGACTTAAATTATGGCTTCAGCGTAGAGTTAGTAACATATTGTTAAATCTATGTGTCCTGAAAGTAGAAGTAATTAGCATTGATTAAAAGTTATCATAATATTCAAAATACGGGACTAAAAACCGCACTATGAGAGACTTAGTTATAGAGTCAAAATTTCGTAAAAAAGAGCTGGGAATGATATAGCTGTTTAGGATTTACTATTATAATTCTAGTAGAGGACGAGATATACATAATAGTTTATTTATAATTATTTGAACTTAACGCATAGACTGAGTCTTCGGTTGTTTATGACTATAGGGTGCGTCACTGGCGATGTATGCGCTTCCAACGGTCGAGGCGATGTTCTTGAAGGCACGTGACAATAAAGCTGACGTTCGGCCTCTTTTGCTCAGCGTGGGGGACAACGCTGCTCGAGTGTACAATCTCACCCAGAAGCTGTACAAGCAACATGGCCTATTGGACCTACCCTGAGAGCTTTTGGCATTTAGATTTGAATTGCTTTGCCCAGTGTCAATTACCGCGATGCCAATATTGAATATAAGAGAGCAATATTATGCACAACTTCATATTGGCAACTAATGAACAAACAAATATAAACGAGCAATGAATTCCAGAAATAGCCATTGCTCATCATCATCATCGCAACACAATAATCATCAGTAGTCATTGTTTTGGCTGCCGGTAATTACGGTCGAGACCTTCCTTCCAGATACTTTTACATAGCAGGCAGAATTTAGATGAATTCACAACAGCAATTCAAATAATTCTCAGTATTGCCAGAGTAACGTATGTATCTAGTTTTATCATTTTATTAATTTTGCCTCGTATCTCGCTTGAAAAAACGTTTTCGGGTCCAACAAGCACCAGACTTATTGATGCCATTTTTAAACTCATAGTCAACACTATTGTCCTGCGTTACCTCAAAAGCAACAAAGGTAATATCAGTTTTCCTTGCTAACGAGTTTAATTAAAGCCCAGTCTTTGTAATGTTTAGCACAACTGGTTCTTAACTATACACTTGGATAATATTGTATAATACAGCCGCCAAGAGCTTTGCAAAGTGGCCTTAATTTAACAGATAAAAAAAACCTTATGAACAACACATTCATGTTTTTTGAATGAGATCTTTGATATCATACTACAGAAACGTAATGCGAGAGAAAGCAAGGATGATCATCTGTTTTTCAAAGTAAAAAAAGGATAGATGAGTAGAGTTTTTAGGCGAACTTTGATTTTTAAGGTGTATTTGAACACGTCTGAAAAACATGCATCATGTGCAATATCTATGCGCATTGAAACTCTACTTAAGATTCTCGAATTCTGTTCTCAACTAACATTTAGAGTAATGGACCACTACGCCGGTAAGTACAAAAACAGTATTTTTCACACATTAGTTGAACTGCATAAGTGAAGCTTTTACGGATGCACGCCGAGGAAGCTACGATAAAAATGACAGAGCTGCAAAAAGAAATGATTGCAAGAAGTTGCACCAGATGTGTGCAATATTATTCCAGAGGCATATGAAAATATTTTTGTACAACAATAGTAATTCGGTACACATACGCATGTTATATATTGTTGTACAAAACACATACGATTATATATATATAATCTGTGACATGTATTAAGCTGGTGTGCAATTTAAATGGTTCGTCTTTCAACCCAATGACCTGTTTTAGGAAAGTAGAACCTTACAGCGTTAAAATGCTCAACATAGGTTTTCGTTGTGATAATGTAACAGAGCCGCCGTTCTAAGGTTGAAGCTCATCAGAGCCCCTCCCTCATTTTAGGGAATGTTCAGCTTTCAGTAACTATTTATTACGCTTGTTTTATTAGATAGATAATAATAGTTAATAAATACAAGCCCACCACGACAAGCTTAAGCATTTTACCATTTCTTATACAGAGTATCAGAACAGTCTATCAAGCTCAACCTCCCAGCTGCCAGCACACAAATAGAGTGAAAGGGAATAACATAACGTACACCCTGTAGTGCATTTTCAAATAAATAGGCTCGCACAAAAATTAATCAAAATCAGTGACGCTGTTAGTAGCGGCTCAACATGTTGGTAGCTAAATCAAAATGAACCTAAGGTATAATAGCCTGTATAAAATATGACAAAACATTGCACACTACACAGATAGAGACAGTCAGTGGTCCATATACAGATGTTTCATATGAATCGTTTAGCTTATATAGTATAATCGTTTAGTTTCAAATTAATACAACGATAATAGAAACTTTAACCTGGAACTGCTAGGTGAATAACCGATATATATATATATATACGTTATATATATATATGTGATCAAGAGAAAAACAATTAGCGGAAGTTTTAGTGTGTTGTATTTCTTACCGATGCTTAGAATTACAACAACGTTTATTACTGTTAGGATGACACATTCAGGTTGGCACTTTTTGACTTCCTACACTTTTCGAATAGTAAACTTTAACTCTATAAAATTGTTTAACAATGACAACAAATACAAGCAATATTTATATACATACAAACAACGACTTATCTGCCTTTTATTTTAGGTAAACATTGTATCTGTTTGTTATTCTATATGTAGCGTTATCTTTTATTTACGTTAATCAGGCAAATTTATGTGCAGCAATACGCTGCATTCAGATATGTGGCCACTAGTTATCACAATTCAATACAGGCCACCACCAACCGCCTTCGAATATTTCTTTCACCGAATCTGAACAAGGGCAAACAAAATCAATTTGTTACAGATCACTAAATCGAATTGTGGGTATGAAATTTAAAACTTCGGCTTAAACCTATGCCGTCAGTAACTATGAAACATCAACTGATAATATGCTATGTTCGTTTATGAGACGAACACAAAATATTCGTCTGTCCCGCGACAAGTTTCAATTTGAAGCCTTATTTAAAGGTTTGCTTAGTTCTTCAGTGACAATATACATAGCTTGCATTGCCCTAATAGAAAATGGCAGCGATATAAAAAAACGACTTATTACTGTGCATCAAACATCGGCAACTGAAATGTGGTAGTAGCGGCCAGTTTTCGTGAGCTACTCGATCAGTAGTGAATCTCTATGCTTTCGCGCTTAATTCATGTAAATCTCCATTGACCACGTGTTGATAGACTCAACAACAGACTTTAGTTAACGCTTTGAATAAATATTCTGTAATAGCATAGCTATCACGGCTAACTTAAACGCTTTTGTCATAAAGAGCATATATATATATATATATATATATATATATATATATATATATATATACATATTAGAAGAATTCCTATTAGTTGCAGCACGTTATTCGTTCTAACAGGTTTCAAACATTCTTAATTCCCTGAAACGTCTTAGAATACAGCTGATACATATGATTTTATCCTGTTGCCTACAAGTGCTACTCGCAAGGTTTCTTCGGCTATGTTTCCCCAGCTATATACACCTAATTACTTCACCTGTTCTCCATTCATTCCTATTATCATGCTCCAATATATCCCCATAACTTAATTTCCCTGTGTATATTCCACGTGCTCAATGAATATTACTATGGGCTAAGCGCACTAAATTTGGAATTCGCTATTGGCCGAACAGCACGCGAGGAGTGTCCAATATTGCAACAGTCGCGACTGTCAATGTTTGCTTGGCGTCTGCGGGCTCAGCTTCAGTAAAAAATACTTAGGGCTGTGCATACATACAATACAGGGAGTAACTATACCTATAAACCCTGAACTTGCCACATACGTCAGACAGATAGTTCTCATGTGATATAATTAGGTACCAGAATGGATAATGCTTCGTATTTTTACTCCTCCGTACCTGATGCTACCTCGTATACCGTCACCACATTTTTCAAACTATCACTGACTATCCTGATGTACTTGTTGAGACTGTACACGTAAACTGCGTAGGTCCTATCAATAGGAACTGCATTTGTGTAGCAGTCTCATTTGTTCAAGGGCCAGCAACGATTCACGCATTTGTAATACACTTCTTACGAAATCAAATACCCAGGAATTTGTTTTCAGTATAATAAAGACTAATCATATATACCAGTGAAACCAGACAGTAACGATAGTTAACCGCGTAAATGCTTCGTTGTAAAACTGAACTCCCGCTCTATGCTATGTATAATAAACTTCACAAAATTTCGTTCATTTGTCTCATTCAAACTGAGCTTCAAACAACGTCTCGTTTTCCGACAGGTAAGCCACAAGTAATGTTAAGTGTCGTCTCAAAGCGTCAGCTTTTGTTTGCGGCATCCTGAAATGTGGGACCAGAAAAGGTATTTGGCTTAACAACCTCACTAGGTGATACGCCCCATAGACTTGTGCAGGCCGAAGCCCATTTTCGGCCATTCTCCACTTCGTGGCATTTTCTAACTCAGAAGTGGCGGGCGACGTTGCGGATCTCCACGATGTGATGGTGGCGCTATCGCTTTGATCTTCGTCCTCGCGCTTAAGAGTACCCGATGCAATCGAAGCATGTTGTGTTGATATTCGAAGAGAACGTGCCCGATGGGTTTCATTGTCCCATGCCTGTGGTATTTTGTTGGCAATGAAGCTGTGCTCAAGTTGGGCTAACAGCAGCTCAAGTTCCGAGGTACGCCGCGACTGGCGTTGCTTTTCCTGGGCATCTTTGTTATACGTCAAATCCTTCAATAGAGCAAACTGTTTTAACTCTTCGTTGTACAGCAACAGGCGGTCGCATAGATTATTGAATAGAATTCGCAACCCGTCGACTGTCTCTTTGCAGAGTTCAATCTCAGTTTTTCTATCAATTATCACCATCTGGCTACGCGAACGCTTCATATTGCTTTCAGTAGTTGGAGCCCGAACGTAGTGCAACTGAAAAGCGTAATGCTGAACGTAATTCTCCAGGATCGACACTACGTCACGGCTACACGGAAGTTTATGCAGTTTTCCTTTGTTCTTTACCAGGTCTTGTTCGTATACGAGCTTCTCACGGAGTGGGTCAGGTAACGACAAAGAAAAGGTCTCGCAGATTGCCTCGACATCACTATCCTCGTCTGAGCCACTGTCCTCTCGGGACGATTCGCTAACGGTCGAAGAACAGCCGTTGTTACTACTATGAGTATTGTTTAAACGGCTGCGTTTCTTCTTTGGCATCCGTTTCTTGGCCTCTGCGTTAAGGTCGGCTTGAAGCTGTCGATTCTTCTCGTTGTCTTCAAGGAGAAGTTCTGGCGAGATGTAACGATCCCATGAGTTGCTCCAACCGAGAAAATGAATGTAGTATTCTACGTCAGCTTTCGTTTTGTTGACGCGAAGAATTTTTGCATCATATAGAACGCGTAGTCGGGTTGGATTTGGGTCATAACACAAAACCCTTTCACCTTCCGAAAATAGCTTGCGCTGCATTTTTGTATCGGGGCACGGGATGACCAAGCAGATGTGATACACTGGCGCTTCTACACCGTTTAGGATGCACAACGCACTGAAATACAACAGTCAGAGAGCCCGCGATTATGCATTGCTGCAGAACGTTAGGATTCGATAGGTTTCTGTTTCTTTGTTAATTTCATTTTTATTCATATTAAAGTGTACCACATATTGAACTATAAATATCATCAGCTTTTGAAATTGCCCTAAATATGCAAGCTGCATGTAAAAAAAATCATGAAAATCATCAAAGCCATATATATATATATATATGGAGTAGTGGGTTTAAATAGGGAATTTGTCTTATGGCTTTTCATGGAAGTGTACCAAAACAACGAACAATACTTCTACAAATGTTTTGCATGTTATAAAACTATTATTCCTGATGTCCATGTTTATTTAATACAACCACCATCCAGCACGATTACGTCCTCAATTCGGGATCTAAAGAACTAACTAGTGATTTTCAGTATATTTCTTTTCTAGTCTCGCAACTGCGTTAGACAAGTAGGTTATAACTCATTAAAATGTTGCTCAGCTGTGCTATATGTGCAAACCAATGGGTTCAAAAGGGTTTTAAACAGTCAAAACGTCGTAAGTAGACTAGCCATCGGATTTAATTTAAACTAGTTGACAACTGACATTCTCTAAAAAGGCTGTTTATTTATGTGACAACGTTTTAGGTGAATAAGAAACAGGATTTTGAGCCATTGTAATGGATTTTCAAGCCTTCTTAATTTAATCTTCAGTAAAAACCTTCTGGTTTGCTCGCTGAATTTTATTATTTAGGAGTTAAGTGAAAATAATGCGAATTGTTGATTTTAGGCAAAAAATAAACTTTCCAATCTGGCTGAATATTCGTCCATTACAAAGAAAAGGAAAGATAACACCTAATCTTAGCTCATATTTTCAAAACGACGCATTGTCGTTCGCCATGATGAGTTTCTTGTTTTGTTCTAGAAAGAACTGGTTTTCTTCTGCTATCAAAAGCAGCATATGAGCGCATGCTCATTACGACAATCAAAGTAGTATTCAAACAAAAAAAAAACATACGCAGTGGTTGTATTCTAGCTGTTGTTACACTGCAGCCGCCTATCAATCATCCTGTCCACCCGTGTTGCAATCGGCTCGTCACTCTGCTGCTGTTAACTCGCTACATTATTGAGGCTGCCACCTAACTCCACTGCGGTTATTCTATTATTTGAAGATAACTTGGGCTAAACTTTTAGAATTGCATGCACATATTAGAGTACTCGAAAATCTAACACAACGAAGTAGGCAACATCAAAGCATCCATAAACAGCTCTTTGTCCTCTGCGGTAACGAACAGCATCACATCTGTACAGCCTCTGTCCGCTCTTACCTATGAGCATTCAAGCTTATTTGCTTATTCATCTGTTTCTCGATTCTTTGATTGCTCAGATATTTATAGAAATATGCTCCACTATCGTGTTCCAGCCTTCCGGTGCCACTGTATCAAGTGTTTATTTTTCTTTGAGTTTGAGCACCACTTATATATTACTTATCACTCCATTCAGATAACAGCTATTCAATAGAGTTTTGGATAAGATTCATTAAATAATAAATTGAGGGACTTGCTTTTGATAGGATACGAAGGACCGAAGGTTTTATTTTTGTTTATTTGAACGGTAAGCAAAATATTTTTACTTCGTCATCACCCGTTTTGGTTGCAAGCTAACGTTCTTGACAACTATACTAGTGTCTATCGTTAATACGTTACAAATAGCAAGTCAAAAGTCGATTGTAACTAAACACGAACGTACAGCAGAGTAATTGATAATAACTTACCTACAAATAGGTGCATCCCTATCTAATATTTGCTCTTTCATCCGGTTAAAGTTTTTATCTAAAATGATATGATGAAAAAATAACTAAATCATAAAATAAGTGTCTTGGAACTTATATTAAACAGAGGAATGCTTCTTTGACGGTTAAATCTTGAATCACCGCAAAAATATCTTCAAAATTTCTTGCTTCAATTTGTGTAGTTTTGAAAGTATTGTACCATAGGTATGAGCCAGTAAGATTTTTACGTAATATATAATAATTTTTTATTTTAAAAAAAAGTAAAACACACACATACACCGTCTTCAAAGCCTTGGATTTTTTGTTCTTTTTATATAACGAGGTTTCACGCTATCTGAAAACAGAACTACAGTGGATAATCTCACATTGTTACGATGCTGCATTTTGTCCATTACTATTGAAAGCGGTGAAAATGATTACGAAATATGCCACTACAAACATATAAGTTGTTATCGTTCATAAACTCACTTGTCAGGTCGACCATTGTCCCTCACTTTTCTTTCACATTTCTAAACTAATTTCAGGGCTCTTTCTACTATTCGGCGACCCATAGAATGTATGCATCACTCCCATACAGCCATAGACCTGCTAGTACACATACACACACACATACACGCATACACAATCACACATTAACAAAACGAAACCGATGGCTTTTGTTTGTTATTGTTGTGGTTGATGAGTAATCGTCGGAGCCCGGAGCAGCGTTGATGCTAGCGAAAGGCGCAAAAACTACACGAGGCATCTGATTCTAAAAACTTGTCAGCTATATATTTGGACACAGCTGACGTCATAATTTTAAATGCTACGCTTAGTACTGTTTTATAGAGGATCATTTCATAGTAAATGTACTAAAGTTTACTCATACGGATCTCAAACAATTCCATTCACTAACACTGCGCCCTCTGGATGGTCCCGGAGCGATGGTCTGTATCTACCATTAAGCGTGTTTGCTACCGAGTAAAGAGGCCATAAGCCAAGGATAGTAACAGATTAGGTTTTCTTGTTGCTCTCTCGTAGCCCCGTGTCCCTATTGCTAATTCGTGTGTGTTCTGCTCAGTTTTACCATTCCCCCGCCACAAGCCGTCGTTTGACGGTTTGTTCGAGATTGTGTACGTTTGGAAAATTGTGCGAGATTGGTGTGTGTCGGCAAAAAAATTCGCCGCCCTGGGAGCGAAGTAGGCGGGCCGTTGCGGTGCTGAAATGGCGCAAGCCTGCGGAGCTCCCGGTGCAGCCGGTGGCGCAGGCCACTCCGGGGCCTCGCTTGAGGATATGCTCAGCACCGATGTTGACGAATCCGTTGTGAACGCGCTCAAAGGCTCGCTTGAATCGCAGCTATGCGATGATCCAACGTCCGCGACTGCCGGCGGTGGTGGTGGGGCAGTGGGACCCGGTGTTACCGGAGCACCGAACCAGCAACAACAACTCCCCCCACAACAACAAACTGTGCAGGTTCAGCACGTCCAAGCACAGCCGACTCAAGTACAAGCAGTGCCGCAAAACGTGCAGCAGCAACAGCAGGTTGTGGCGACCTCACAACCGCAGTCGGTGGGACCCCCTCAAGCGCAGCTAACACCACCCCCGCCGCAGGTTTCCGCGCCCGGCTCCGGGGGGCCCACCGGAGTCGTCGCAACCCCCGTGACAGTTGCCCAGTTCGCTGCTGCCACCCAACCTCAAGTCGTTCAACATGTTCAGCAACAGGTGCAAGCGGCAACAGTTCAGACCACGCAGGTGGCCGTCACGACGGCAGCTGGGCCTCCGCATGTCACCCAGGTCCAGGCAGCGCCGCCACCTACCGCCACAGCATTTCAGCCTGCTCCACAAATGAGTGCTATGCACAATCTGGCCAATGTTGCCTCGCAGCAATCGCCTATCGTTGTACAGAAACAACAGGTTTGTTCTTTACGTAAGGTAGGCATAGATAACGTTGATAGTTGTGATTTGATGTCGCCGGTAATAGCACCTATATTACTCTCATAAGTTTCTCGTTGCAGTTGCTTGTTTACTATTTGCTGATTTTGGTTATTGAAGTTGATTTTACTTTTCCTGAAAATTTCGAATGACACATTCGTTGTTGGACAATGCAGGCTCTAGCCAATTCAGTCAAGTATTAATTATTTTCATTATAGATAAACATTAAAACGTATGTAGTGACAGGGACACCCAGTGTTTCATATAGAGCAGGCACTGCAGTGTAATAACGTATGTGTAAAGACTTTTGCAATGAGCTCTTGTAGCGCGGCAAAATTGCCACTTAATTGTTTCAGATCTAGTCAGCATTTTCTAACTAAGCGTATTGTTTATATTAGGAGAGAATTGATGTTGCTTATTTATCAGCTCCATCTAAGTGAAAACGAATACTTGAATGCTATTTTCTGCATTTGACGATAAAGATACCTACGTAGAACTTGTTTAATAAGACAGCCATTAGCTTCGAGATTTTCTTTAAAATTCGGCTTCAATTGTTTATAAGGTATTTTCAAATTTTGTCTCTCCATATTTGCGAATAACCATTTTAACAATGTTTTTGAACAGCTCAGTACTAGTACGTTTGGACTGGTTGCAGTTCCGCTCATAGACATCGTAAATAATGGATTTTATGCTGGAGTATCAGGCTGTTAAAAAGTCTTACCTTGGGCACAGGCTCAAATTATTAATGATCGTATTTTGAACTTAGTGGCTTCTTTTTCTCGGTTGCCTGTTTTTCGACAAAGCAAACAATTTCTTTGTTTATCCAATGTTGTTCCAAAATCCTGTTTCAGCTCATATTTTTTATTCCTTTTCGCGGGAGTGACACGACGATATGACGGGACCCTCATTAATTTGTGTTGTTTCGGAGGGATCACACGTAAAAAAATTGAAATCCTAGCCAAAATTCAAACATGCCTTTAGTAATAGATAAACATGCGGTTAGATGCGGATCTTTCACGTTAGATTATGAGAATCTTCTCTGGACACTCAAAAAGTTGCGTGGAGACCGACATCAGGGCAAAATAATAATTTCGGTTAACCAAAACAGTTGATAACCTTGGCGCAGAGGATTCGTCCAGCGCAACAATATTTAGTAAATATGCTGAAGATGAACCTTCTGCCCCCGCTTAATTTGTCGTTTTATTATAGGAACAATTGTCCGTCGTTATTAACACGAATGGAGTGTCAATACATGCCCACATTAAAATAAATAGCTCTTGAAAATATCTTACAGTCTGTGCACCCTATAGAATATTGAACAGTAGAGCTTATGTAGTTATATCGATTTTTATTGTTAGGTCTGGGTCTTGCCTCAGTATGATTGCACAAATCAGATTTTTTCGATTTAGTATGAGGCCCAATCTTGTGAAAGTATAACTAAATATCGTATAAATAGCTTCTTTTCTTCATACAACTTACAGCAGCTACCACTGGGCTTGCAAAAACGATGTACTGTATATGGGACTGATCGACGTCGGTTGCTTGTGTCATATTTACAGGACCATGGGTTCGCATCTGAGGATCAATTATTGTTAGGCTTCTGTCAATTTCAAATTAAATTCAGTTAAAGCAGAAGTTTAAAAAATTTAAGTACTATCTCTTCACCGCAGTATCTGGCGTAGGCGCCTCTTGATTTTAGCTTTTAGAAAAGAAAGTTTCTTTACTGTGCTGAATTTAAAACTGACATAACTATCTGTGGTAGTAAATGTATTTTTTCTGCTCGGAAGCTATATGAGCGCAATGGTGGTGTACTATTTGCATAGGACAGTGCTCTTACAACAGAAAATACTGCCGTTGTCGAGTTCATAATAATAATAATATTAGAAATATTCTGTAGTGAAATAACGGAGCGCAACGGCTTGATCGATATAGAAACTGTAACAAGATCTTGAGGAGGATTCAGTGCTTTGTGTACATTGTATCCGATAATAAAATTATTTTCAACAGGTTACTAGTTAAAACATTGATCCTCTCTACAGCAACTTTGAAGGCATGGTGAGATTTGCAGATCTAAAGATAGGTCTGTTTTGTCCAACTGCCTAATTTTGCTCCGAAACAATGCGTAAATATACCGAGAGAAAAAGTGAATTTTAAGCTTACAATCCATAGAGGCCTAAATATTATCATTCAATGAGTATGGTTTAGAAAAAACGTTCGAAGAGACTAATTAGAAGGAACAAATTGTGATGGTTTCGTAGACAACCAAGGTTTTTCGCGTGATTAACAATCGCCAGACGAAGATCACTGCGAGCCCTAGAACTCGTTGACCAGAAAGTCCCTTGTTTATTTGAGCAGACTTGTTCGAATAAAAGTATATTAGGACGGCGCGTCTCGACCGGTAAACGTGCGCTTTTCAGTCGAAAAGAGTTAACTTTATGCTCATGAGATTGATCTGATAAAATGCATCACATAAGACCACATCGCGAACGCATTTCACTAATTGCAGATATTCTGCCAGTGATAACAACGGTGTTGATGCCGATTTATGTAGTCAGTCAGACTTCAGCTATGTTGACTACGCAGATCTAGACTATTAAGAGTTGATAGCCTATTGTAATTACAAAGATCATGAATAAGCTGCTTTGGACACTGGAGTTGGCTTCAGCGGACAAAACAGTAGCTGGGATTACATGCAACGCCGCAAAGAGCGCTCTGTTGCATATTTCCGCTGAATCACGACTAGTCGGACAAGAATGTTGTACAACAAGACAATTTTTTACGTCTGTCAGCTTCAATATGCCTAAACCTTTTGAAAGCCTAATTTGTTGACATGTTGAAAGCAGATCTTTTGTCAGCTACTTTTTTGAACGATAGCTTGATTCCGGTTTGAGTAGAATACATTTTTTACTTTTACTCGAGATAACACTTCGTTAAAACGTACCGTCGTCTTCATCAGCTTACGAAGAATACTAGCAGATATTTATATACCTATGCGCATGATACCATTCATTCCACTGAGACGTCACTATCATTGAATGTCAAATTAATCGAATTAACACAGCCGGCAAAGAGTCGATGCAAGTGCTTCGAGCGAATGATTGCTTCGTCGAATCAGTCCTTCAGTCCGTCGGAACTGGGAGTACCACAACGGTGCCGGTCAACTACAACTCATTCGCTTTTCTTATACCTCTCGACTGACGAAAACACGATGAGGCTTTCAGGCGAAACGGCGTCAAGGCCTATATATATTATATATGGGAGAGATTGCCTAGAGCGGTTTTGATAAAATGTGCCACTGCTGTTAGGGATTCTGCCAGACAGACCACCTAGCGGCTTTCAGTTCGAATGACCTAGTATGATTTCATGACGCCGTAGCTCAAGTCTTCTAGCCTGCCTAGTAATTAAATAGCCCAATGACCAGTTGTTATTATTAGTATCAGAACAAACAGCTAATTCAGTGTACTGCTCGTTTTTAATATGACAAAAACACTAATAAGGTTTGCATGTGGCTACTATAAGGCGCCGGAGGATGAGAGATAAAGACACCTTTGCGTTCGTCTGTCTGTTTTTATTTGTAGCTGGCTGAATCATGCACTGAGGCACTGCAGAAGTTCATCTAATGCTTAACCCTTACCTTTTCGCCTATGGACCCGCAACTAGTATACAGGAGGATGCGTTCAAATTTGGAATAATTTCGAGAAGTAGTTTGTCGCAATAAACATGCATTTATCTGCTTTTCGTGGGACAAAACGAAAACT